CTCTTCCTGGAAAACAAGTCCAACGAGGGGAAATTTAGTATCGAGAAGGACCCCGCCAAATCCGTCTGCACCCTGACAGTGAGCAAAGTAACTCTGCAAGACTCCGCTACCTACTACTGCGCTAGCTGGGATGCACAGCAGTAGAAAGCCACAGGGGACCTGCACAAAGACGTGCTCTGCTTTCTGAACCAGGTCCTGAAGTGCCTCACAACACGCAGGAGCATCCCCACCCTACTCCCCGCAACAGCCTTCGGTCAGACACCGGCTACAGGCAGCCGGCTACAAAAGACGACACCGCTGAGCTAGCGCATGCTTTGCAGACACGCACTGCAGCCAGCACCAGCACAGCTGGTATTTCACTTCAGCAACAAAAGGGGCATTTTCATAGGTCTGGCTGCCTAAAACCACCTCCGGGTGGGTTTACAGGATGGCAGGGTGGGCTAGCTAAAAGAAGGAAAAACCTTTCTATTCCCACGACCCTTCAAGCTACGTCTTTGGAATAAATCCCCGGTTACACCATTTGTGGGGCAGAACAGAAGGATACAAGAGAAAATAAACTTGAAGCACCGCTCGGGACTGCAGGTATCACACACCCATTTTGTACGTCTCTGCTGGCAGAGAATCTTGGTTTAGTTTCTCTTTGTTGTCCATCTGGAGCCGATCAAACCTTAAGTTAAAATACAAGCCTCTTCATTGACTTCAGTGGGGCTTCTCATCCAACACGGCAGCAAGCCTGCAAAACAAGCAGCAACTCTACAGCAGGTATTCATACTTCCATAGCGCAAACAGAAAGACATTCATTTACGTTCTTTCACCCCTTTGCTGGTTACGCCCAAGCAACTGACTGTTAAAATCGCAGGACCGCTGTGTTCCGATCCCAAGTATTCCCAGTCTCTGGTACAAGGCACATCTGGAGGTGCCGCCCTGGGGTGTAGCGTCTCACCTGACCTGTGACAAGAAGCAGTTACCAGCGCAGCAATCCTGCTTCTGAGCTCCCAGATGGCTGCTGTGTCTTTTCCTGGCCTTTGGCAGTCAACCTGTGTGACGGGCAGAAACTGGAGAGCCTACACATTCATTAAGATCCATGGTCTTATTTTTTCTTCCTTTTACTGGCAGTGGACCTGAGGCAGAGCGTCTGACCCCCAGACTGATTGTTCAGCAGCCTTCAACAGGTCTAAAAGCAGGCGTTAAAACTGCTGCAGACTACAGCATTACTTTGTAAACGAGTTGAAGTGATTTTGCGTGTGTGCACGAGAGAGAGAGCGCGCGAAGGTGAGTTTGTGCCGCTTGTGCAAAAGCTGTAACCAGGCTGTTAGCATTCAGCAGGGCTCAGTCACGCAGCTTTAGCTCAACATCACCCGCCCGCTGCCCAGGGGAGCCTCTCCGGGTGATGCCCAAGTGAGTCATTTCCTTTGCTCAGCCGCAGCCCTCAGTGCCTGCCGGGAGAGCTGTCGCCTTCCTCCAGAGGCATACGCCAGCGAGAGCCCTCGGGATGCTGCTGCTCCCGCTCCTGGCCCTGGCTGCAGCCTGCACTCGTAGGTTCCCCTTGTCGCCACAGCACGGCACAGGGCAGTGGCAGGATGCACCCCGTATTTACGAGTGTGAGTGAGTAGCAAGCTAAGAGGGTTTGTTGTGTTTTCTCTCCTTCTTCCCAGATGGACAAGCACAAGTGCTTCTGAAGCAGATTCAAGCATCCGTTACCAGACAGCAAACTAGAACCGCATGGATTGAGTGTAGGGCCGAGGGCATACCTAACTTCCCAGCTGCGTATATCCATTGGTACCGACACCTACCCTCCAAAGCTCCCGAACGGATTCTGTATATTGGATCAGCTCAAGCTTCTTATGATGACAATTCCTACAGGAGCAAGTATTCTGTGAAGAAAGGTGCAAATGTCTGCGCTTTCGCAGTCAACGACATCAACTCCAGCGATGAAGGCACCTACTACTGTGCCTACTGGCAGTCCCACAGCACTAGCAGACCGCAGGCAGCCTGTACAGAAAGCTGCCTGTACCCAAAGCTGCCTGTACCCTGAGCGGCAGGCTTTCTGTCAAACGCAGAGAACCACGATTGCACCTTCCCGCCTCTAAAACGTCCCGACAGGTTTGTGCTGAGTGTGTAAGTAGAACTAGAGGACGGGGAGAAAAGCAAAGAAACGCAGCGTGCTACCGCTCAGCTGGTAATGGGCTGTGCGGGGGAAAAGGAGCACTCCCGTGCGGAATTTAGAGAGTGACACAGGTGATCTTTGAAGAAGCTAGCTACTTCCCCAACTACAGTCTGAGCTAGCAAAAATGAAGCAAATGGCAGGGAGGGAGCACAGGAGGGGGATATTCGCGCTGCAGATCTAGCCTGGGCGACTTCAAACCCAGGTCCTGATGGAGATACGGGTGACACTCCTCACTGGTCACTCCCATCAGAAAATGAGAAGTCGTTCTCTGGGAGGAGAGTGCTGTGTGGTGGCCGTGGCCCAAGTGACCATTTGCCATGAAGTCTTTGCAGGGCAGCTTTGCAGGGCTCTGAAATGAGCAAAAGTACAAGACAAAGCAGAGGCCAGGAAACAGCTGGCTGGGAGACGTGCATGCTTCACCCTGCCTTCACTTCACCGTGCCTGGGGTAGGGGGATACGGCTGACCAGACAGTCTGGAGCTCTTCTAAGTAAGACTAAGAGCTGATAGTTCACTATGACTTATCCCGTTTGTGCTACCAAAGCAGGCAGCATGTAGTAGGAAAGGCTGGTGAAAGGTGCTTCTGGGACAGCTTTGGGGTGTCTGCGGAGAGGAGAACATCCTTGGGAAGGGCCAGACGGAACACCTGGAGTTTCTCTGTGTGGGCTCAGCAGGTCGGTCTGAGAGGAATGCAGCAGATTGATAGATGAAGAAAAATGCTTTCAGATTCAGTATTATTATATTAGGTCCTTTCTACAGCGTTACACATGTGGTTTAGCCTGTCAGTAAATTTAACCCCCGCCACCGTCGCCACTTGAAGAACGACCATTGGATGTGCCAAATGAGTCATTTCCTCCTCCCAGACGTTGGACGCTTTCTCCACCTGAAGGACTTTATAATGTTTCTGTCTCGATTTCATTTCCAGGTTTAACCCACGCGGGCAGCATGGTGCTGCTTCCAGTCCTTCTTGCAGCTTCACTGTGGGCCCGTAAGCCCTTTTTCCTCTCCCCTCTCCTTCCCGTGTGCCGAGGACACGGTCCTGGCTCCAAACGCCAGCGCTTTCTTCCCCTCACACAATTTCTCCGCTTCCCCTTCCAGGTGGAGACGCGCAGGCGGTGCCGGTGCAAACCCCGGAGCTGCAGAGGCCGGTGAAGGGCAGCTCTGCCAGCATGGCGTGCCGAATGACGGCCCAAGCCACCGTGCACTGGTACAAGCAGCTTCCCGGAGAGCCGCCAAAGAGGATACTGTACGTGTCAGGACAGTCACCTGTTTTTGATGACAGAGGCGATAGTGGGAGATTTCAAGTTCGGAAAAAGCCTACTGAGCCCGTCTATGCTCTCACAATAGATTTTTTAACCCCGAGGGATTCTGGCACTTACTACTGTGCATACTGGTTTTCTCAAGGCATCACAGCGTTAGATGGGCAAAGATAAGCCGCACAAAAAGGTGTTTTGCACTCTGAACCGCAAGAGCTGAACTCTGCCAAGATGCAGATACTTCCCTGGTCCCCCCCTCTCTCCTGGCTGTCTGCAACAGGTTAAGAAAAACAGCAATTTATCATGACTACTGCTAACTATATGATGTTAATAATCAGTATATCATTTCAGTACTCACACATATCCCTAACATCCAGAAACCGGAGAGTCCCAGTCACTTTAGTGTAAATATATTGAACTTTGCTCTGCAGAGAAACATATCTCCATCCCGTCAGTGCTTTCTCTTGAAAAAAAAGACACGAATATAAAAGAAGGAGAGAAGACCAGACGGTCTCGAACACCCTCCTCCCTATTTTTCTTTTGCTTTGCTTTGCAGTTCAGTCTCTACAAATTCCTACAGCAGCCCAGAAAACACCATTTTATTGTCACAGTTTCTCGCCGGGTGCGGCCAGGACAGAATGGAAATCCTCAGCCACGGGCTATGCCCTGGCAAGCAGAGACTCTCCGGCCCTTTGGGATAAGTGTACTGAGCATTACAAATCAGGTTCTACCATCAAAGACTGTTTCTAGGAAAGCTGGCATTTGCCTGACAGCTAAGTCAGAAAACTGAGACAGTTATCACAGTTTCTCGCCGGGTGCGGCCAGGACAGAATGGAAATCCTCAGCCACGGGCTATGCCCTGGCAAGCAGAGACTCTCCGGCCCTTTGGGATAAGTGTACTGAGCATTACAAATCAGGTTCTACCATCAAAGACTGTTTCTAGGAAAGCTGGCATTTGCCTGACAGCTAAGTCAGAAAACTGAGACAGTTAGTTCTGTGCCTCCGAGTTGCTGAGTTAAGACAGAGTGCACGTGCTCCATATCCTGGGAGATATTCCGCTGATGCGTCCGGACCTTCAAAAACGAGCACAAATGCCTCCACAGTGGTGGTTTTCCAGTCCCACAGGCTCCCAACATCGTGTTTGCTGGACTTTTGGAAAGATTGGAATATGTAACGGCTTGCTATAGGTGTTTCTGACCTCCTTAATTATTTGAGAAGTTGGTTGTAGTACATGTGACCTCAGATGTTAACTTCAGTCAGCTTGCCTTCGGTCTTCCCGTTGTGGGATCCTCACAACCAGGCTAGCAGGTTTCTGGAGTGAGTTGACTGCAACTTCTTAACACAGGTCACTGAGCAGCCAACAAGGAAGGGTGCTCTGCTGGACCTCCGACTCAAAACAAGGGAGAACTGGTTGGGGATGTGAAGGTCAGGGCCAGCCTTGGCTGCAGCGACCATGAGCTGCTGGAGTTCAGGCTCCTGAGAGGAGGGAGCCGGGCAAAAAGCAGGCTCCACCACAACCCTGGACTTCCAGAGAGCAGCCTTGAACTTCTTCCGAGATCTGCTTGGAAGAAACCCATGGCATACAGCCCTGGAGAGACAAGGTGTCCAGGAGGGCTGGTGGATACTCACGAATCTCCTCCAAGCTGAAGAAAGGTCCATCCTGAACAAGCAGGAAGTCAAGCAGACGCTGCAGGAGGCCTTCATGAATGAGCAAAGAGCTCCTGATGGAACGCAGGCATCAAAATGAAGTGTACAAGAGGTGGAAGCAGGGGCAGGAGGCGTACGGAGCTGCTGTTGGACCATGCAGGGATGGGTTTAGGAAAGCAATAGCCCAGCTGGAGTTGACTTTGGCAAAGGAGGTGAAGGGGAACAAGAAAGGATTCTACAAGTACAGCAGCAGCAAAAGAAAGACTAGGGAAAGCTGCTGACTAGGGCAGGGATACTGGTGAGAAAGGACATGGAAAAAGACCGAGGTACTCAATGCTTCCTTTGCCTCCGTGTTCACCTGCAAGGCCAGCCTTCAGGAACCCCAGGCCCCTGGGAACAGAGGGGAAGTCTGGAGCAAGAAAGATGTACCCTTGGTGGAGGAGGATCAGGTTAGTGAGAACTTAAACTGAACATACAGAAGTCCATGGCGCCTGACGGGGTGGACACGCAAGTGCTGAGGCAGCTGGCCAATGCCTTTGCAAAGCCAATCTCCATTTGCTTTGAACGGTCACAGCAATCCGTACAGGTTCCTGAAGACTCGAAGAAAGCAAATGTCACTCCTAGCTTCAAGAAAGGCGAGAAGGAAGACCTGGGCAACTACAGGCACGTTAGCCCCATCTCAATGCCTGGGATGGGGATCATAGAATCACAGAATCATAGAATTGTCAAGGTTCGAAAAGACCCTTAAGATCATCGAGTCCAACCGTTAACCTATCACTGCCAAGTCTACCTATACCATGTCCTCGAGCACCACATCTACCCGTTCTTTAAATACCTCTAGGGATGGAGACTCAACCACTTCCCTGGGCAGCCTGTTCCATTCTGTGCCTCCGAGTTGCTGAGTTAAGACAGAGTGCACGTGCTCCATATCCTGGGAGATATTCCGCTGATGCGTCTGGACCTTCAAAAACGAGCACAAATGCCTCCACAGTGGTGGTTTTCCAGTCCCACAGGCTCCCAACATCGTGTTTGCTGGACTTTTGGAAAGATTGGAATATGTAACGGCTTGCTATAGGTGTTTCTGACCTCCTTAATTATTTGAGAAGTTGGTTGTAGTACATGTGACCTCAGATGTTAACTTCAGTCAGCTTGCCTTCGGTCTTCCCGTTGTGGGATCCTCACAACCAGGCTAGCAGGTTTCTGGAGTGAGTTGACTGCAACTTCTTAACACAGGTCACTGAGCAGCCAACAAGGAAGGGTGCTCTGCTGGACCTCCGACTCAAAACAAGGGAGAACTGGTTGGGGATGTGAAGGTCAGGGCCAGCCTTGGCTGCAGCGACCATGAGCTGCTGGAGTTCAGGCTCCTGAGAGGAGGGAGCCGGGCAAAAAGCAGGCTCCACCACAACCCTGGACTTCCAGAGAGCAGCCTTGAACTTCTTCCGAGATCTGCTTGGAAGAAACCCATGGCATACAGCCCTGGAGAGACAAGGTGTCCAGGAGGGCTGGTGGATACTCACGAATCTCCTCCAAGCTGAAGAAAGGTCCATCCTGAACAAGCAGGAAGTCAAGCAGACGCTGCAGGAGGCCTTCATGAATGAGCAAAGAGCTCCTGATGGAACGCAGGCATCAAAATGAAGTGTACAAGAGGTGGAAGCAGGGGCAGGAGGCGTACGGAGCTGCTGTCGGACCATGCAGGGATGGGTTTAGGAAAGCAATAGCCCAGCTGGAGTTGACTTTGGCAAAGGAGGTGAAGGGGAACAAGAAAGGATTCTACAAGTACAGCAGCAGCAAAAGAAAGACTAGGGAAAGCTGCTGACTAGGGCAGGGATACTGGTGAGAAAGGACATGGAAAAAGACCGAGGTACTCAATGCTTCCTTTGCCTCCGTGTTCACCTGCAAGGCCAGCCTTCAGGAACCCCAGGCCCCTGGGAACAGAGGGGAAGTCTGGAGCAAGAAAGATGTACCCTTGGTGGAGGAGGATCAGGTTAGTGAGAACTTAAACTGAACATACAGAAGTCCATGGCGCCTGACGGGGTGGACACGCAAGTGCTGAGGCAGCTGGCCAATGCCTTTGCAAAGCCAATCTCCATTTGCTTTGAACGGTCACAGCAATCCGTACAGGTTCCTGAAGACTCAAAGAAAGCAAATGTCACTCCTAGCTTCAAGAAAGGCGAGAAGGAAGACCTGGGCAACTACAGGCACGTTAGCCCCATCTCAATGCCTGGGATGGGGATCATAGAATCACAGAATCATAGAATTGTCAAGGTTCGAAAAGACCCTTAAGATCATCGAGTCCAACCGTTAACCTATCACTGCCAAGTCTACCTATACCATGTCCTCGAGCACCACATCTACCCGTTCTTTAAATACCTCTAGGGATGGAGACTCAACCACTTCCCTGGGCAGCCTGTTCCAATGCTTGACTACCCTTTCGGTGAAGAAGTTTTTCCTGATATCTAACCTAAACCTCCCCTGGCGCAGCTTGAGGCCGTTTCCTCTCGCCCTAGCAGTCGTTACTAGGGAGAGGACCGCCCCCCCCCTCGCTCCAACCTCCTTTCAGGTAGTTGTAGAGAGCAATAAGGTCACCCCTCAGCCTCCTCTTCTCTCGACTAAACAACCCCAGCTCCCTCAGCCGCTCCGCATAAGACATGTGCTCTAGACCCTTCACCAACTTCGTTGCCCTCCTCTGGACACTCTCCAGCACCTCGATGTCCTTCTTGTAGTGAGGGGCCCAAAACTGAACACAGTACTCGAGGTGTGGCCTCACCAGTGCCGAGTACAGGGGCACTATCACCTCCCTGGTCCTGCTGGTCACACTGTTCCTGATACAAGCCAGGATGCCATTGGCCCTCTTGGCCACCTGAGCACACTGCTGGCTCATGTTCAGGCGGCTGTCAGCCAGCACCCCCAGGTCCTTTTCTGCCAGGCAGCTCTGCAGCCACTCCTCCCCCAGCCTGTAGCGTTGCATGGGC